AAATTTATTTATATAATTTTAATGTAACAACAAGGGTTAAATTAGGCGAATGCGAAACATAAAATCTGGAAAAATAACTAGGGTTCAAAATTTTAGTTTATACAAAACTGTTATACTTGTTTTTAAGGGGAGTATCAATTTAAATTTGCTAGCCAAAAAAAAAAAAAATTTAACAAACTTACAATTACAAAAGTAATAACACTTGGTCACTAACTGCCTTACAAAAATAATAACACTATGTTAGTGTTATTACTTTTATATTGCTCTTTTAACTTATAAATTCATTCTTTGTTCAAGCAATATTAGTATTCCCAAATTTTAATTGAATTAGAAAAATATCTAGAAAAATAAAGTGGATGTTTAAATAATATTTTAACTAAAGTAACTTATAGAATTGTGGCAAACATCTTTTTGAAAACATATATAAAAAGTTTTGCATTATGAAAAACGTTTCTAATGGACCGTAAAAACGCGCGTTAATTTTAAAATTAACTAATAAATATTTTTTTATTGGTTGTATTTAAAATTAACGTGCGTTTTAACGTAACATTTTTTATGATGCTATACTTTTCATAAAGTACTTTATAATAATGTTGTTTAAGTGATCTGTGAAAGTTCTTGAATTTTTAAATAATATTCGAATATCCGCTTTATTTTTTAAGATGCTTTTTTACTTTAATAAATGTTGAGAATTAATAATGTTGTTTGAACAAAGATTGAACTTAAACAGTAATATGTGCATTATAAATGTAATAACACTATTATAGTTTTATTACTTAAATACTAAAGTGTTATTACTTTTATAGTTGTAATTTTATTGTTTTTTTGTTTTTTTTTTGTAACTTTCTCGCTAGCAAACTTTGAATAATTTGCACCTTAAAAATATGGTACACAGCTTTGCATAAACTAATACTTTAAAGACCTTATATTTTACCAGAGTTTGCAAACCAGAGTAAAAACTGCACGTCATTTCTGGGAAGGCTTGATATATATATAAATTTTTAAATTATATTTATATATTTATAATTTATATATATATATATGTATATTTATAAATGTATATATATATATATATATATATATATATATATATATATATATATATATATATATATATAATATATATATATATATGTAATTATGTAAATTTATATATATATATATATATATATATATCTATATATATATATATATATATATATATATATATATATACTCTTGCATGGTAGTTAAAAAGAGTTTCCCATAAACTGTAGTTTTAAAGCGCGTTAATAAACCAGACCAGAAAAAGTTTAAAATTTTTTTTTTTTTTTTTTAAATAATAGACTGCTGGCCTAAACCAAACCCTCAGTCGATGTAGCAGCACTCCCTTGCGAGTCAGGCTATTTGTCAGTCGTTGTAGCAGCACTCCCTTGCGAGTCAGGCTATTTGTCAGTCGATGTAGCAGCACTCCCTTGCGAGTCAGGCTATTTGTCAGTCGATGTAGCAGCACTCCGTTGCGAGTCAAGCTATTTGTCAGTCGATGTAGCAGCGCTCCGTTGCGAGTCAGGCTATTTGTCAGTCGATGTAGCAGCACTCCGTTGCGAGTCAAGCTATTTGTCAGTCGATGTAGCAGCACTCCGTTGCGAGTCAGGCTATAAGATAGTCGATGTAGCAACATTTACGCATGTTTTAAAAATGTTTTTTAATAAAACAAAAACAAAAACACCACTAATTAAAAAAAACTTTCTAGTCGTTATTATTGCAGTTTTTTAAAAATTTTTTAAAAAACAATACAATTTAATGTACTTCCGCATTAATTTAATTGCTTTGACATTTCGGCGACAATCAAATACAGCTTAAGAGACGAGGTAATTAAAATTGAAGTCGAAAGAGACTTTTTTTACATTAAACGACTCTTTCGACTACACTATAAGGATATATATATATATATATATATATATATATATATATTTACATATAATATATATATATATATATATACATATATATATATATATATATATATATATATATATATATATATGTATATATTTATATATATATATATATATATGTATATATTTATATATATGTATATATATATATGTATATATATATATATATATATATATATATATATATATATATATATATATAATATATATATATATATATATATATATATATATATATATATATATATATATATATATATATATATATATATATATACTGACAATTTGTAACTATACTGAAAAATAAAATTGGATTTTCACTTATATATACTTTTTTATGAAGCGAGCGCTTTGCCTCTACACCACTACTGCATAAAATAAAATGGTTTAGAGCAAACTTTAGAATTATATGAAATGATAGTGGTTAGGGTTAGTATAATTTAAATAAAATTAATCATTGCTAATGGAGTTTTCAACAAAGTTTACAATTGCATTTCTGACAAATTAAAAATAGCAATTTTATCTATCTATCAAGTTTATTATATTTAAATTTTTTTTTCTTTTTTTTACATAATTACAAACAACTTTTGAATCTTTTTTTGTTTACTTTATTTACTTTATTTACTTAACCTTTTAAAGGTTTAATATTTTTCCTATATTTTGTATTAGATTCTATGAATAAATGTATCTATAAAAAAATCATAAAGTTGTTTAAAAAAGAGTTTTGTTCTTTTAAATGTGTAATTATTAACTAGGATGTATTTGATGGAGATATTTTTCAATATTAAACAAAATGTGCGCATTTGTTTTACAACTGTTAGAAGATGTTACTCTTATTTATAAATGGTTTGCCATGATATTATAAAAACATTAGTAGAGATAAATGATTTGTAGATTCCAACTGTAATTAAAGACTTATTTTAAACATTTTTCAGGCATTTATGAGTTGTTTATGTTTTCAAAACATGTTAACAGGCGCGGTTGTATTGTCTAAACTAATTATTCTTTGTGTGTTTATATAATGGTTGCAGTTGCATGCCTTTTTTACATATACAGTGCTTTAAGAAAGTAATAGCGCACTCATATATATTTTTTACCTTAGTGAACATTAAATGAGTGTAATTAAAAAACAATATAAGGCTGATTAATTTTTTTTTTTTAATTATTTATGAAATAAAGCAGAATTGCTAATTATCAAATATATAAAAGTATTTCTTTATTATTATCTTGAGTTTAATTAAAATACAATAAGATTGATAAAAACAATATTAAAAAAGTGTGCAAAAATATTAGCGCACTTACAGTTTTTCAAATATTCTAAAAAAGTTTAATATTTTATGTGACCATCTTTGTTTTTAAGGCATGCCAAGACTCTACGCAGCATAGAATCTATAAGTTTTTTAATTATTTCTTGTGGTATGGTATTCCGCAACTCTTGCATTTGCGTTTTGAGCTGTACCAAGTTTGTGGCTTGCTTTTTTGTAATTTGCAGTCCATCCAACTCCAAAAATTCTCAATAGGA